ATAACTTTTGAGTTATTTGTATGTGGGCATATGTATTGGTATGGCCAGGAAACTACCTCCTGAAGCATTCCCTTAGTAAAAAAGAGTCGAATGAACTCAAGCTCACAGTTCATTGAGCCAAATGAACTCAAGCTCACAGTTGATCGAAATGGATCCCGGACATGTCAGTGAGGAGCAAAATCTGGGAGAACATTCCTGGCGTCAGGATCATCATATCCGTCATGTACTATGGGGCCTAGTGGGGATGCAAGACAGGGGAGCTTTCGAAACCTTAGGTCCTAATGGCTGGGCTTCCCTCTACCTCTACTCATCCCCCTACCTTCCCTCTGGGTTGGTGAGTGGGGTTCTCATGACTCATCAGAACTCTACTTCCCTGAGGCTATGAAACAGGAACAGCAGATAGGAACAGGATCAATATATTCATCAGTGCGAATAAAAACTTTTATAGACATGGTGCCATATAAAATTATAAAAGAGCCAACTAGTAAGATATAAGTATGAATACTTGGCTATTATGTATGTAACAAACAACCAAACATGTGCTCAAGGCTCATTTTACTTCGCCTAGGAATCAGAGATTTTTATGCCTAAAACACCATAAATTTTCGTCAACAATATAAATAAATACCATTTATATTTGTCAATTTCAGTATGAAACGATTATTTCAACACAAAAAGCGATATGAGGACATACTTGGTCGTACTAGTGAAGCTATACTAAATACAAATAAATTTACAACGCCATGGCAACGGCAAAACATTGAAATTGTCTAGAAATGATACAAATACTTGCCTTGAAACTCCAGACACGACTCCCAATGCCAGGTTGAGATACTTGTCTTCATACGAAGACATTCCATCATTACTAGCACTATCAGTTTGCAAAATAAAGCCAAAAACGTCTTCAGAATGCGATTCAAACAAAACTACAACACAATACATTTCAACGCTCGTGCGTTCCCGTGCGCGATAATCAGGAAAATTGCTCTAAAAGATTTGTTTTTCTGCCTAAGCCAATCAAAATCCGTATCTAGGGTAAACAAACACTCCGGAAGTGATTCCTGCAGTCTTTTACCAGGAAACTGTAATGCTTTACCAAGAATTTGGCGTCCGAAGTTGGCCGAACACTTTCCGATCACGAGAATTGCCATAATAGGCTTAGATTATTTCGCAATTTCCCGAGACTGCTCCGAGCTATAGAATGGAAGATGGCGATTCTTTTGGTATATTTGTTATTATTATACGTGGAAAAGAAGCAAAAAGACGAGCATTTGAATCAGGCGGAACATTCAAAATGCAACAGCAAAATTGATAATGTGTCATTTGCATAAATTTCACCGCATTGATCATTTCAAGGTAAGAAATTCGCTTGAAATTGAGCGAGAAACAATAAAATTATATGAATATTTCTGAATATATAGTATCGATCAAGCGGAATTTTTTGGTGGTATTTTCGTATGTCTACTGCAAATACTCGCGAAGTTCTTTAATATTTAATCTTCCCGTCATATACGTCGGAAATTAATATTGGCGGATCGAATTGAGTTAACATTCCTAAAAATCGTATGTTTTTTGTTTTTCGATTTTGTCACATTTTGGCGGGAAAATGACGTGCCAACTTTGGCGCAAAAAAAATAAACACAAGCTAAGAACATGCTAGTAACTTTTTCGAAAAGATTGCCCTATAAGGGTCTCAAAATTGTAAAAACATTAAAAATACAACAAGGCAGTGTGAAGATATGGCGATTCAAAGTTCGAAAAAAATCTATTTTTAGTAACAAAATGGCTGATTTTTCAGTAAAAATAGAACTTTGAATCGTCATATCTTCGCACTGCCTTGTTGTATTTTTAATGTTTTTACAGTTTTGAGATCCTTATAGGACAATCTTTTCGAAAAAGTTACTAGCATGTTCTTAGCTCGTGTTTAATTTTTTGGCGCCAAAGTTGGCACGTCATTTTCCCGCCAAAATGTAACAAAATCGAAAAACAAAAAACATACGAATTTTAGGAATGTTAAGTTCTATCCTGTGAGGGAGTTTTGTGATATTCCAAACTAACGAGAGAAAGTTATATGTACTTGGCCAAATTCGCTGTCTTTTATGCCCACCGTGCTAAATGTGCTCGATACAACATAATTTCTCAAGCGTTTAAATTTTATCCAGGGGATAGCCGGATAAAAACGCCTATGATACAACTGGCCCCTTATTGGAAGAAATACACACTGGCCTAAATCAGAAGTGTATGACCAGGAATCAATAACTGTCATCAATGCAACAAAACATGTTCTTGACTTGCCTGCATTGAGTATTAAGCTACATCAAGCAGATGGAGGTAATATCGAGGTAGCTGCAACAAACTTCCCTTTATTCATTGAAGCAGTCAAAGAGGCCCGTATTAGATCCCTGCAGGCAGTACCAGTAGATCATCTAAAAGAAGAATATGCAGAATTTCTCAAAAGGCTACATACATTGACAGCTACATATAAGTTGGAAACCCTGAAAACAACTGATCCTAAAGATCTTATAAAGAATTTTTTTAATGGCATTGAGATGATAATTGAAGCCATTGCTGTTTGCTGCGTTGAACAGTCTTGTGAATAAATTTTAGAATCACTGGGAAGAATTTACTGATCAAGAGGAAATGAGCCACAGATTAATAATCCCCTGGGGGTAGGCTGGGGCCAAGTATTGACCAACTATTTGCTAATTAATGTATTTTGATATTTGAGCTGCAATGTCCACATTTCATTTTTTACTATGTCTTCGCCTGACTGGGGAGAAATTAGAACACATTTTGTAAATATGAATGTGAAATATATTACAAAATGCTGCTTTCTGACATTTCTTTTTATTTTGGCAGGACAACCATTATCTCACAATCCAGCTGTCCCTCTGGAAGAAGAAATATGGCTGAATGATTACATGAAAGATGGAAGAGAACCAGTGTCATTTGATCGGGCAATATACATTTTGAGAAGAAAGTTGTTTCCATTTATGCATGATCCACATCCTTGGGTAAAAGGTACATAATTTACATAATTTTGTAAGGTACATAATTTTTACATCATAACAAGTTTAGCAGTCATGTTTTTTTCAAATTCATTCTTCATTAAGGCATGTACAAGATCAATTAGGCTTTGGCTGTCAATTTCTTTGTTATGGTTGTATGTTAGTAAACTATTTGTTTCCATGTGAAATTTATAGGAAGACCTGAAACAACTGGAGAAATTTTAAAACCAATATTGGCAATATTTCTCTACCGGAAAAGGATAGATGATCTTAAGCATCACGTCACTGATCCAGCTGACTTTAGCAAGAATTTGTACCAGCCTGAGAAAGACATAAATGGAGAACGAATCCACCATTCAGAAGACCACAATCATCTTCTGAAACGCATTGTGTCACATCCTCATGGAGGTCATATCTCTGGCATTGATTTACAGCATTTCAGAGATGCTTTGCATCACCCCACAAAAGGCTCAACATATGAGGCACTCACAGGAAAGAACAGGCAATCAGTTCCAGACTGTGAGCACCTTATTAATCCTGGGGTCATTGCATTTCTGGAACGGAATGGCCATGTCAAAGATGCCAATGTTGTCAAACCAGCAGCGGATCCAGACTGTAGCAACTGTAGCAAATGCCACAGTCAGATTTTCCTGCAAAATTGTTTTTAATTAATGTGGTGATAGTAAAAATTCTATAGAAGTTTTCCAGAAGTTTTCTCTATCTCAAAAAAATTAACTTTCGCAGCTTCGACCAGATGTCCGTATGTATTTTGTGAGCTACGAATATTAAGTACGTTTTTAAGTGCTTATCTTAACCTGAATTTTGCCCGAAACAACGCCCGTTTTAGGGGAAATCACCTAAACTTTTTAAACATCGTTCAAAAAGCATTGAGAAAAGTGGTCTAAATATAATGATTTATGATGTCAAAATGCTACAGTCAACTGGGGGTCTTACATCAAAATGCTACAGTCAGCGGGGGAACGAGTTACTAAATTTAACATTTTTGCTACAGTCAGATGAAGCAAACCAATCACAGTGCTGCAATGCACTACAGTCAGCTACAGTTGCACAATTTGATAGGAACTTTAGAGCGATGTTATTTGACTATATTTGTTTACGCTAGTTAACAAGTCAATTTCTTTCGAAGAAAAACTTAATAGACTAAAGCCCTATATGAGGATGCCATCGGGAACAAAGTTAAGGGTGATCGTCTGAAAGATCGCAAGGTATTTGTGTGTAAAAAATATTGTTGAATCTGGTGTGTAAAGTGTCTATGGGTGTACTGGATATCTTTGTGTTTTACTGTTTATTGGAAAAGTACCTTTGAAAAATGTGTTTATGTTTCGAGAATTTGTTTGTTTTTGGTTCTTCAGTATGCTTACGTAAAACAGTTACTTTTCCGCAATTGTTTGCACACACAAGTAAATAATGGACACGCACACAAACATCATGACACAGGCATCAACCATCGGACATCAATCGTGTGGATGAGAAAAAGAGGGACTGGGCACAAGCTATCAAATAAATTAATGGTACTTGGCTTTCTAGTTACATTCTGTGTTTTAATAGTGCCTGAAGAACTTTCTAGCAACACTATACAGGGTGTCTCAAAAAAAACGCTACAGAAGTTCAACAGACTGTTGTGCATCACAAACTTAACTAAACAATTCAATTTGTACATAGGACGAAAGAGCTGTTATTTAGCTTTTCTATGATACCTTTCTTAAACCGTAACAATGAGAAATGGCCACATACTCGTCAAATAAAAATTGTCGGTCGAAATCACATTCTTCCACCATTGGGAATTGAAAATACATTAATTATGCAAAGTTAATCCAAAAGCAACGCAAGCCTTCTGCAAGGTACTTGTTTAGTAAAACATATTGATTACGAATGTTCTCTGTTTAGTGGTTAATGGAACCATGTTTAATGCAATAATGGACGTTCTTATGGTCTCACTGAGACAAAGATGCACGAGTTGAGCTTATTTGAGATAATTTAACATTCAATTTTAATTCCCTCTTGGGAATTGTTTATTGTTCGTTTTCCTTGCAACTCCCAACGGTGGAAGAATGTGATTTCGACCAGCAATTTTTATTTGGCGAGTATGTGGCCATTTCTCCTTGTTACGATTTAAAAAGAGTATCATTAAAGGTAGGTTACAGTCCCTTCTGCGCATGTCTGTGATTGTTTTTGCCTGGGGACTCCACTGGAAGTTGGGCATCTCGGTTTATACTCGATCCAGTCTCATTTCTGGCAATAACACGCGCGTTGTTTTTTTTGCAAGCGAAGGAGTGAAGCTAGAAGTTTCCAAAATATATTGAGCTTTTTTCATTTTTTGAGCGACACTCCGTCAAATAACGAGTTTTTGAAGCAACATGACAAGTTGGAAAGAATACCACGCTAGCAGGGATGCTTCCAAATTGTATCAAAGTGTATCTACTTTATTGTTTTCCTCGATGGAGAGCGTGCCATTTCTGTCTGCGTTTCCCCATGATATACCTACATCCTCAAGCTTCTACTAAAGGTTTTCAAGAAAAGAATACAAGAAGGATAGGACATTTCACCCAACATAGGCATAGCTGCTATTCACTCCCTTCACTGTGGATCCTTCAGTGAAATCGCTTGTTGAAGCCCATCAATCAAGGTTTTAATAATAATGACTATAAAATTCTCTTTATTTTAATTTATACACTATCATTACATACGAACTGTTCTATCTCTTTTATTTACAAACTGAAACCCATGATATAGATATGATACTTGTGAGATATGATACTCGTGAGTAGGAGTTGTCAATGAAAAAGTGTTAATGAGCAATTTGGAGTCAACATGTTTTGGATGGCTATTTATGTAGTGTTTTTTGTCACAGTGATAAATGATATAAACTAGAAAATACATGCATGCAGAAACCCTCGCCTTGCTTGTATTTTCCGAACATGAAGTATCTAAAGTAGTTGCCATGGTAACACGATAATTTTTTAAGAATATTCTTACAAATGAAAAATCGCCTAAAAATATCACTTTTAATTACAAAATTATCAATTTCCGAACATATATATGTTAGGTATGATATTATACGTAATATAAGCTTCAAGTTAAGGTAAAATTCAACCACAAACGCTTCGCAAAACGTTTTAAAGTGTTCTTTATAAAACTAAACTGCCTTTAAAGTTTATTCTTTAATTAAATGGCTTTATCGATAAACTTTGAGTTTGCAATAAAATGATTTCAAATTCTAGCATGTAAATAACTTTGCTTTCTTTTTTATTTAAAAAAAATTCAATATAATAAAAAAGGGAATCAATATTAGAGATACACTGAAATGGGACCCGACATGCTGTCTTGTTTAGTTGTTTCATATACGCAAAGGCCGTCAGGTTTTAAAGCAATTATAAAATCAATATTTAAAACAAACTTACCTTTGTTAACGTCGGCTCCCTTTTTTTAGCCGATTCTTTCGCCATTTCTTTCTTGAAATTTACAAAATCTTGCAAAAATGCAAGCAAAAATGAAATATATTTGCAAGAAATTTATCAATCATCAAATAAAGAAATGTTTGCTATTTCGCTGTCGTCATGCAGTCGTTATAATGCAAACTTTAAATTGGACCAATCACAGTGTTTGCTATTCATGACAGTCCGCCATATTTTTGAGATCAGTGAGGATGACCACCCACGGTTGGTGACCCACGCCCGCGATATTTGATGAACTTTAGACTTCGCTAATGCTTTCGTTTCCCCGGGTGTAAATAGCCGGGGGGATTAGTACCCTCGCACAGCGCTTAGCGCCGTTGGCTCGGGGATTAATCTACTTGACTGTGCTTTACTGTATTTGACTGTCTTTTCATGGACAACTTGTGCTTACTTAATAGAAACACATAAAAAAGTTTCTCTGATCGAAGTATATTTTAATCAAAGCAGCTAAATCAGCCCTCGAAAAATGCCGACCTATCAACCTTCCAGGTCAGCAAATTTTTGCCGACGTTAATTCAGCAAAAGTAAGAATTTTTTGGTGCTGATAGCTGTTAGAAAGTCAGCAATTATAAAATTTGATTCGTAATTCAATTAACTAAACACACTTTGGTGTAAGGTTTAAAAATTGACTTTTAAAAGAGAGTAATATCAATGAATTCATACTTCCAGTTCATAATTTCAAAACATACATTTTTATAACAAAAAAAATGAATATATAAATCTTAGCGTCTCGTACTCTCGTCACTGTAGCTCTATTGAACTCTTCTGTTGTTTATAACGAAATCATATCCATAGTGCGCACGAGCTTGATTTTGCACGGTCAAATATTTCGCCCTTGGGTTTGGCTTTGCCACTAAGACAGGAACTGCAGCCAAATTCTCAATCCAACTTGTTTCGAATTTCATCAAGCGAAAAGCTTTCCCCAAGCGCTTCTGTCATAATGACAACAACAACACTGGCAACATGTTTCGAGGGATTGATACCACATTAACTATTTTCATGATGAGACACTCCAAAGGTAAACACAAATTATGTGAACTCACACCTTCGGGATTTCAGTTCACAGCCCCAGCTATTGATATAGCAAGTCCCACACAAGATTCAAAGCGGCCTCTTTATTAGCGATATTTACAGTTAAACAGCTACAGTATAAGATTGTGTTATTGTGTACAAAATTTCCAGTGTAGAAATGTACAAGAAATGAAGCGAAGTAATGTCAAACATTGCACTCCTCGGTCACAAATTATGTAGAATGTTATTTTGAACTCGTCATATACTTCATCTTATATAATTAATGTGGATCAAAACAAAAAACGTAAACAAAACCTGCGCATGCGCAGAAGGAACTGTAACCTACCTTTAAAAAGCTAAATAATTGTTCTTTCGTCCTATGTAAAAATTGAATTGTTTAGCCATGTTTATGATGCACGACAGCCTATTGAATTTCCATAGCGTTTTTTTTAGACACCCTGTATAAGTTTTATCAAAATTGCAGCAACTCTATCAAATAAACTGTCTGAATTCGAGAACAAAACTCTAAGGTAATTTTGCAAAAAGGAAGTCATATAGTCGTATTGCATATATTCAAATTCTGTTGCTTCAAGGCAAAATCTGTTACTCCCTGGTGACATTGAGCCAAATGCCTGCCCTAGTACGCAAAACGTTGACAGTTGCAAAGATTATTTAGAACAGTTTGTTCATTCGTTAGACAACTTGTCAACCAACCTACGAATTGCACACATCAATATTGTTGTCTCCGGAACAAACTAGATGAAATTAAATTACTGCTGAAAATATGCTGTTTTGATGTGCTGTCAATAACTGAGTCACACCTTGAAGCAAAGATTTCTAACCAACAATTGAATATTGCGAGTTATAAAATAGCTCGAAAGGACAGAGATAATGGCCCCAGAGGAGGTTACGTTATGTTTCAAATAACATTTGTTGCTCACGACTTAAATCTCGAGAGACACGCAGCAAAATAGAAGGAATATGGCTTAAACTCACAGTTAACTCGACCTCAACTATACTAGGAACTGTCTTATTTATTTATTTATTAGGCTTTGCCAAATCAACTTAAAATCACTTGCTATACATACATTAACATAAACGATACATACATTGACATGGCTGGGTATATGCTACAGCTTCCGCCAATTACAGCGACCCTTTACACAATACAAGACAAACAAACTTTAAAATATCGGGAGTTAAAAGCAGAATACCCCACCAATTTCTCTTTATACAAAAATTCTGTGTCTATAGACCTCCGTCGGACTACAAGTTCTTCAACAGATTTTATACGGTTTTGGAAAAAGTGTGGAGTAAATTCAGAAATGTGTTAATCATTGGTGATCTAAATGCTGATATAACTTGTTCGAAAAACAGTGAAATTGTATCAACACAAGATAAAAAAACTACTCCGGACATTACAACATTTTAACTACTCTGTAATGAACAATCAGCCAACTAAAGTTACAGCAACATCATCAACCCTCATTGACCATATAATTTCTGGTATACCAGAAAAGATTATACCCTCATTGACCATATAATTTCCGGTACACCAGAAAAGATTATAGAAACAAAATGTTTGGAGTTAGGAATTTTCGATCACATGTTAGTGTATGTTTCATTAGCAACCAAGGTAAAAAGACCTCCACCAAAGATTATCAATGCACATACCTACAGTAAGTTCAACTCGGAATATTTTCGGAAAGATGTCGAAGAAGCACCTTGGTCTGTGTGTTTGATGATACAGACAATGTTTACTGGGCGTGGGTACAAAAACATCTGTGAAAGACATGTGCCTTACGGACAAGTCAAGGTAAGACAGAACTCCTTGCCATGGATCACCCCACAAATTCGCCATCTGATGAACCACAGATACAAAACGTTCTTGAGAGCCAAAAGATCGCAAAACCCAGAGTTGTTTGCAGAATAATACACATTGAGAAAGAGTAAAATGCGAAGTAAGACTTTCCAAAACTAAATACTACATGGACATGTTCAATGAAGTAAAGGGTTGGAAGTCAAACTGGAGATTGCTGAAAACTGCTACGGAATAAACTGTCGAGTAAACCAATACTTGGTATTAAAGGACTAGATGGCAAAATCATAACATCTGATCAAGAGAAACCCGAGTTATTTAATGAACATTTTTCAACAATTGGTGAAAAACTGGCTGATACACTCCCACTGTAGAATACCCAACTTTCTCCACTACCATCAACAGTGTTATGCCCACAGTTATGGATATCAACCATAGATATCTTATATACACTAGATAGTGCATCTAATTATTCTGCAATTCAAAAATTGAAGCCGTGATTGCAGACTCAGGATATTCCCATGAAATGAGAAGACTCGTACGTTTTCTATTTCTCAAACAGGGAACTTAAACATTAAGTTAAACCTATTCCAAATACATTTTCAAACTATTCAAATTATGAAAGTTATTGTTGTTTCTTAAGCGTTTATTAGCGAGTGGGAAACTCCAACATGGCCGCCATCTATTCAAATGGGGATAACCGCTGGAATATTCTTGGCTTCAATTTTACTAAAAGAGATGCGCTATCTAGTGTATATAAGATATCTATGATATCAACCTGCCTAACGAGTGTGTTACAAGGAGTGCTAAATCTCAAACCTGAAAAGGCATGTGGTCCAGATAAGGTTTCACCCAAGTTAGTAAAGAACACTGGCCGTGCATTGGTTCCATCTCTTACACTTCAAGTGTAATATGTAACAGCGTACCCAACCAGTGTAAGAATAGGTACGCGTTCATGTATCTGCTCATAGTGGTATAGGGCCACAATTAAAGGGTCGACTTATTAACATTGTTATAGTAATATAGACAACTTTTGTTTGCGTGACAATTACAAACTGACTATTTCAGAGCACACGTCATAACAAGAAAGAATTTGTTAATCGCTTTTGGTCTGAATTGGTCAAGTTACATGTAATTGTTGTGGAGGCGAATTTTGTCTATTGCCTAATATTTGAGTTTATATTAGTTGTATTCATATTTCATGCCAAAATATACAATTGACCTGTAAAGAATAGAAAGCTTTTTTGAAAGAATATATTTTCGATTAATCCAATTATTACATAGAGTACAAGAAGGTTTTTATAATTTATAATTGTTCAACAAGGTTATATTTTAGTACTGAATAAAATAGTCTGTATGTTCCATTTGCAGATAATAATTCGATAACTGTAGGAAAGGTTTCATTAGTTTCGGAATGTCATTATTGCTGATACACATAAATAGCGATGTCTTTTCTCATAAATGGTCTTTTTTCATAAATAGTCTTTTTGTGGTTCACAATCTTCTTATTGTGCAGCTAATAAGATCAACAAAACTGTAGATGGATGTAGTGATGATGGCAGATGTTGTCAAACGATAATCACACAATTTTGAAAGCTTGTAAAACTTTATTATACTTTAATGAAGCAAATATTGTGTTGTTGTTTGTTAAAGGAGCACAGTGATTGTCAAATTGCCTTGGGTGAGAAACACAAATTAGTTATTCCAGGAACACAGAGTAGCAAATAGGTCACATGTCACTGGAAAACTTTTTGAGAATCTAGTGTTTAATCCAATTCCAGTTCCCACATATAGTTAATAACAGACGTGATTGTATAGTATATAACACATGAAAGCAGATCCATATAATAAATTGAGTTGTGGAAGAAAATCCAAATAACAGTAGATAACAAAAGTTCAGTTTTGTGCATTATATGACAGATCCATCCATATGATATATGATTACTGTAGATGTCAAGTTCTTGTCTTGTAACAATACCAGTCTTTTTGATGTTGTTTTGCAAGTGAGCTTTTCTGACATAATTATTTATCAATTCATTATACAGTGCATTTATTCATCATTGCTGCATTAATCTATAAACAAAAAAAACATTATTTCACATTAGATATGACAATGGCAGAACATGGATCACTATAAAAGGAAATAGGGTAATGGGAAGAGGGGAAGAATAACATCAGAAAACCTGCTTACCTGGTGATTCTGTTGTTGGCATTTAAAAACTGTTTGCAAAAGGTTTGTTTTAACTCTCATTTGTACAACATACTGAAGTATTACTACCACCACTTTGCCAAATCCGATTCAACGAAAACAATTAATTAAGTTACAAACTGCCCTATGGTCTGAGAAATATGTTTCTAAAATGTGTGAACCAGATTGCGACTCTGGTAGATTGGTATAGAGATGATCTATTGACGTCTGATTGTCTGTAGTGACAGACACCAATTGCTTATAGTTGTGATTATTGATAAAAAAAAAAAGCTACATAAAGGCCCTCTACTGGTTTCATCCAATCAATTGATATTAAAATCACCTGTGAAAATGTTAAATTGAGAAGTACAAAATCTCAAAACTTCATTTAATGCTACACACAATTGCTGTAGTGGAATTCTGGGTGAGGGATATATACCAATTATACTAACATGTGGAAGAATCATTGTTTTCATAATGGTTATTTCGATGCCATTAATATTAGGACAACATGGATATCCAGGTAAGAACTCGACTCTGCCAAACACTGCCATGCCACCAAAAGGTCTGGTAGTCAAAGAGTGATCATCATTTCTGAACAAGGTGTAACCATCAATATCATACATATTATCATTATCAGACCTCATACATCGAGTTTCAGAAAAAACATTGATGTCAGTATTTGTAAAATTAAAATCATGTGTTTATGCAACGACCATGCATTTAGATAGCACAATTTGAATGAGATTTGGTCTGTCTTATAAATAGGAGTAACACTTAGTTTCAGTGTGTGTTCATTTCTCAAATATTCCATTTCTGCTGTTACATGAGAATTGACAGCTATTTTATCTTCACATGGGTCAGTTATAAATAAACCTTCAATTGTTGTTACCCTGCTTACATCCATGGGATATTGGATGCTATTTTGTTTTATTAATCTTTCTTTTAGTTTCAAAATATCATCCTCAGCGTGCTTTCCTTCCCTAAGTCTGTTTAATATTTCAGCAAACACTTTGCTCTCCCTTTGTCTCATAATTTCTTCCAATTCAAACATATTGAAGTTATCTTGCCATTTATTAGGAGCAAGAACTGTATATTCTGAGTTGCCTAAATTCTTAAATCTATACCTATGCATTGCAGGTTCAAGTTGAAATAAATCACCAACAACAACCATGCTTAATTATACCGCCAAAGTCGTCTTTACTTCCTTTGATATCTTTTAGCCTATTATTTATCTGAACATTGAACATTGTACTACCGACCATTGAGATCTCATCCAAAAATATTAGTTTTAAACCACCAAGTTGACATCATAATGTATTTAGTCTGCTTGAATCCAGAGGTTTGTAATTCTTTAAAGATTGACATGCAGGTATTGCAAGTGCATATGTATTGTGTTACCTTTAATGTTGTAAGCTGCTTTACCAGTTGGTGCAAGCATTAATATTTTTCAGCTGATGGAAATTATCACCTGCTCTAGTATTATAATACTTTAATGCTGCTTGATAAAGACAAAACAAGATTTATTTGCTCCTTTCAAATTGCAATTATATATACACAAAGAAATTATTTATATTTGTTAGCATTATTATTAGTAAAATATGTTTTGTGTTCTGTGACTAATTGTTTTCTAATTTTTGAGAAGATTTGAAAGGGAGCTGGCTCCCTGAAATAACCACAGGGCTATATAAATATCAGGGAACCAAAAAAGGACGAAAAAAATTATGAAAATTAACAATATAGTTCTATATCAAATAAATTTTAAAAAATCGAGAAAGGAGCACTGCATAACTCCTGATAACATATAGAAAAAGTTGGAATCTGAATCAACACTTTCCAAGAAATTCGATTCTAAGTTTATATTTAATTTGAGAAATCGGCAAGTCTTTATATGATTCATGTAAAGAATTCCATATTTTAGTGCCTTGATGATCTTGAGATGTGACTTGCCAACTGAGACAAGTGAGATGTCACTTGCCAACTCCAGCTCCTCCACTAAGAAAACAGTAAAATGGATTATCTGAAGTTTTAATAAGATGCAAAACATGGTAGAAAAATTCCTTTTGTTCTTTATAATTATTTAGTTTTTGTACCATATATTGCTCTGTAAACATCATCCTGTTCTTCATGCAATATCAGCTGCTCAGTATTAGATACAGTTGAAGGAATGCCAAAATCACCAGATAGGTCATAGTTTTCATTGAATTCTGGATGAAGAAGGTCTTGCATACCTTTGGATTCATCTTGAAGCTCAATGTTTTGTGTTCCTGGAGCAATAAGGTCATAATTATCATCATTATTTTCGATGTTATTAAGAATTGATCTTGAATTTCATCGAGGTCTTCACTACACATAGCATATTGTTTCATTTGTTCATCAATTATAGCTTTAACTAGTACAATAGCGTTCTTGGTAAGAAGAATAATTTCCTATCAAGTCAGTTTTTTCGGTTCTCCATGATGTGAACAACATGATAAGTTCACGATAATGCTTTTCTGAATCAAGTTCCTTGTTAAAACACACAATTCGAATAATTATGGCTTTAGATCTTTTTTATTCTTTTGTTTACAACTTTCTTTTTCCTCATTGTCATCATTATCATCCATCAGGTTGGTCTCAAGTGGATAGTTATCAATATCAAGTTCATTAGATTGTTTGATGTATGGTTTATCTGTGGAGTCATACCACACAGCCCAATCCAGCATACAACACATTTTCAAGGCTGGCTGGTCGTTTTATGTAACGTTTTATTAGACCAGAAGCATAAATCTCATCAGAATCATCTTCCATCTTATTGATCTCTTGTAACAGTTTTAACAAGCGAACTCTTTCTTCTGGGGGTGATGTATTTATAAATACAATTTGACAAGAAGATTTTCTCATTACAAGGCCTAATTCTATATAGACTGCTTCTTGTGCACTTAGGGAAAGTAATTTATTATGCCAAGGGGGGGGGGGGGATGAAGATGTCTTGAAAAAAGCTCATAATTTACAGGGCCCCTTGTTGAGGCTATTGGTAAATTTTCGATGCCCCCCTCCAAGTTCCTAAAATTTTCAATGCCCCCCCAACAAAAAATTGGAATCAAAGGAGTACAATCCGGAATTCTCTCTTGTCATAGATACAATTTGCAGTTCTCAAGATGTCTGATATACTCAAGAAAGTGCTTCTCCTCAACATAAATACCAACTTGCTGCTTCTTTCATCTCACTATTGCCAGACGAAATGGCACCGTCTTTAAAAAACATTTTAGATTGGCTCTAGGGGCGAAATTATCGCGGACAGGTTGTTGTTGTCCGTCATTCAGCGTAGTCGGAGTTTTGAACATGTTCAGGTAGTGGCTGGATCAGGTTAATGTTCTAGAACCTTGCCCCCACCCAACTTATCTCCTGGTATCTGTTGCAAATTTCTTTGCATACTTGTCAAAAATGCAAGCAAAAACCCCAGTATGCTTCAATTTCGTTAAATTTCATCCCGTTCGTACTAAATATCCCATGAACATAGAACATATCATTCTTACAAATCATATGCATTTCTTGTTTTTAGATCTGCTACTTTTTGGCGGGTAAATTACTTCACAAACCATAAGTGATTTCATGTATCCATTTAGAAGAGCAGACTAATGATGTCTTAAAACTGAAATCGGTTTCAATATACAATCATCAGGGACGTAGCGAAGCATTTGACGTTTAGGGAAGGGATGTCGGAGGATTTTATGTGAAATTTGATTTTCAATGTTAAACTTTTCCTGAAGTCTAATAATTATAATAAAGCTTTTTGTGATTGATTGGCAATGTCATAGGGGGGTCTGGGGGTCCTCCCCCAGAAAATGTTTACATTTTTGAAGCTCTAGGACTGAATTTCTGGCATTTTCTAGAGCAATACAAACAGAGGTGCCCATAATTAACTAATAAAGTATAAAGTAACCATTTATTCAGATTGTTTGTTTTAAGATTTACAATACTTCAAGCGTAACTATTGCCACAACACTTTTCTTAGCACCACTGAGTAGATGCATGTACGCAAAAGTGTACCAATTTTATAAACTATACTGATATCCAAACGTTGTGCAGTCACTACAAAATATAGGTATATGAAATTTTGTGCACAGGCGGCCCAATCTCTGAATGTTCTATACATAAGCAATCTCTGAATGTTCAATATTAGGCAATCGCATCAACTAAACTCAGAAACACAACAAATGCATCCTATTAACAAGTTAGATATATTTTTTTACATATACTGCTAATATTTCGTTATTAAATATTATAACAGTTACATATTCCGTATAAATATTCAAAATATATAGAACATTCAGAGATTGGGCTGCCTGCGATGCAACCTGCATGTAACTGCAATAAATGTCATGCACACACAGTGAACCCGTGTGTTACCACCTGTGGAAAGTACTATATACTGTATAATAAACATGGCTTTATTATAAAGGTTAATTGCTGTATTATAAACATTGGTTTATTTTATACAGGCATTCATTGTATACGATGGCCAAATCAACTCCATTAATAAATTAACCCTATATTAACGCCTATGATATCACTTAAGTATTTATATACCCCGGCTACGCCAGACAATTTTACTTGTCGAAGACAAAGAAAGACTTCCCTGCCACTATGGGGTTAACACCACTTCTTATATCAACTCAAGCCTATCCCAAATCACAGACACTGTGAGAGGAAAGCAACAGCTATTGTTCTAACAATGTTATATTGGAATCATTGCAAAACTCCGACATTATGTCCCATTCCATACCTTAATGAACATATATAAGTCATTAATTCAGCCATATCTATCATATGGAGTTGATGCATGGGGATATGCAGCCAAAAAATATACGGACAAACTTCTCAAACTCCAGAAACATGTGCTGAGACTTATCTATTTTAAAGACAATCGTGAACACTCTATCCCTCTATTTATCTCTTCAAACACCCTCCCTATCAACATGCTATACATTCGAGAATCCGCTAACTTGTTACATGATATTTCTAATGAAGTTGCACCAATTGCTCTTCAAGAATTATTTACCAAAACATGCGAGATTCATAGATACAATACGAGAGCAGCTGCGAACAAGAATTTTTACATCAATTCTTCACGATTAGAAATCCAAAAACGCTCATTTTCTCGATTTGGTTCTTTTATCTGGAATAGTATTTCTCCAAGTTTCCGTGCGCAAAGGAAACATACCTTCAAAACCAAATTAAACAAAACACTTATGACAATTCTACAGAAGGAAAATGACCATATTGATCTGCCCTTGATAATAAACAGATTGCCTATTGAAACCAAACCATCCTACAATTGATTGTATAATCTCAATTTTTGTGGTTATATAATTATGTGCTCAATTTCATTCCTATATTTAGCACTTTAGCGAGATTTCAATATTACCGATTAACTTTACATAAGCAAATAAATTGGCTTCAGCATGCAGTTCTGCTTGAAACTTTGTAAACCTGCAATTATTTAACTTATTAAGTTCTTTATCTTGTAATTCAGTCATTTCTATTATCCCCCTCTCCTAATTACATTATATCACTACCCGCCCCGATTAGCTGCCATACTTGCGGCTAGTGAAAATTCATGTAAATATATCTGTAACTAGAAATAAATATGTGTATGTGTGCATGTGTATAGATCGTTAACTATATCTTTCTTTCTCTCTTCAGCCTTCAGTCAACAACTTTAGTGGTACGGCACTGATAATGTGTGCCTTGCATTACTATCAATTAATAAACCATGATAAATATATCCACATTCTACTGACTGCATGTATATCTTTAAATACAGGTAGATGCAAAAGTTCCTTCCACCATTTTTTACATGAAGTAATGCATGGCGTCAACACTTACCTGAAAGACCATGGTCATGAGTCAAAGCAAATGTTCTCCTGCCCTTCTGCACCTGGGACAAGTTCAGTGATATACTTGCCAATTCTGGTGAATGATCTATTGGTTTATATGACGAAGTTGTGTCATTTTTTGCAAGCATGAATATGTATTCTTGAGCAAAACTACAAGTCTTTGAAACAAAGCAGTATCAGGACTTTCTTCAGATGTATACAGGAAAAACTAAAACGAGAGAAACTGGTAATGTATATGTATATAGTAATTTAATGGTTTTGCACGAAAATCAGTACATTTGCATCCAGTACT